GGTGTTTGTAATTCAGTCGTAATTGGCCAAATTGTTTAAAGATTTGAAAGTACGCTAAGTTTTCATTTAAAAATAGAAGCTCTAAACTTCAGACCGACAGCTGTGGTGCCTGCATGAGACTGGGCTAGACCCTCTGCATATGGGAGACAGTGTAGCTTGGTTTGTTTGAGGGGCCCCTGGCAGTGGGATCAGGATCTATCCCTGGTGCATGAGCAGGCTTTTTGGAACCCATTACCTATGGTGAGACACCTTGCTCAGCCTTGATGCAGGGGGGAGGGGTTTGGCCCTGCCTCAGTTGAATATGCCAGGCTTTACTGACTCCCCGTGGGAGGCCTTACCCTTGTGGAGGAGGAAATGGTGGGGAGAGCAGAGAGGGGAGGCTGGGGGGGGGGGGGAGGAGGGATGAGAAGGGGATCTATGGTTGGTATGTAAAATGAATAAAAAAATTTCTGAAATAGAAAAAAAAAAAGCTCTAATGAAGTGTCCAGAGCTTGGGACTTTCCCAGGGTCTCTGTCTTGCCTTGCCTAACTTCCTTTTTCCTAGAGTTAATTCTGAACTGTTCTTGGGCTACAAAGAAGGCAGACTATTTCTAGCACTTCTCCTATATTCAATATCCCGTGAGTTTATGTTGATGGGAGGTTAGGAATTGGGAGAATGTTTCTGAATCGTTAGCATATTAAGTCTAAGAAGTAAGTAATTTTTTATGAATTCTAAAATATTTCATATTTAAAAATAGACCTTAAGTAAAGAACACTGGCTTACCCCAAGGAAGTATCTGCTATGTTTGAAAAAAGCCAGTCTCTGGCATCAGCAGTATAAGTCATACCCTAGGGGCTGGTAAAGTAGGGCTGTGTTCAGGATAAAAATGTCCTGGGCACTGTGTCCCTTCACTCTGCCTGCCTCGGGGGCATCGCGGCAGCCGCTGATTTCTACTGCCCCATTGTAAATGGAGAACCTGCAGATGATGCCGTGGAGAGCGGAGGGGTCTGTGGGTGATGACGTCACTTCCGATTGTGCTTTCTAGTCCTGCCTTAGCTGTTAGTTATGTGACCGAGACTCCACCCAATGCTTTCCAGAGAAAGGGAAGTTTTCAAATTACAAATGGTATTTTTCTTTTTGAGACAGGGTTTCTCTGTGTAGTCCTGGCCATCTTGGAACTCACAGAGATCTGCCTGCCTCTGCCTCCTGAGTGCTGGGATTAAAGGGGTGCGCCACCACCACCCAACATAAATATTAATTTTAAATGTGTTATTAACTTCTCAAGGAGGTAGGTCTGAAATCGCTTTTAGCTACAAAAATTGAAATGATGAGACACATTACTCTGCATAGGTACCATTTAGGAATCGTAGGTATTTGTCCCGTGATGCCAGAAAACAGAAGGATAAGATTCCAGAATATCATTCAACACAAGCGGAAACGTCGAGTACTTAGAAAACACAGTGTAGCTCTTGGTCTAACTTGCACCATTGGCATGTCTTTGAAAAAACAAATAATATTAAATATGAAAAGGAGTGCAGCAGTGCATGAGTTCCACCCTGTGTGTCCCTCAGGGCTTGTCCCTCTGTGTACAGGGCAGTAATTGAAGGCCAGAGGCGCCTGGAGCAGGCGCAGGACTTGGCAGACCTCTCCCGGCCAGGGCCTTGCTAACAAGCCATGGCGGTGCCCATTCCTGTCCCTGCATCCCAGGTTTGTGGGTACGAGAGGGGCCTCTCTTACTCTCCTTACTGCTTGCTATGGGAAGCCTAACTGTAGCCCATAGTTAAGAAGTGAGGTCTCGTCCATTTCCCACCGGGCTCACAGTGGTGGGGTAAGTGAGGTTTGTACAGGTGGGAGAAAAGAAAAGATTGTGGGGGAGAGGAAGCAAAAGGAGTTGAGGTTGGGGACAGAGAACACTGGGGGAAGCCGTGTGAGGAGACTGGGAGGAAAGAGGCCACACAGCTGCCCCTGACAGATCTGCGCAGGCCTGATGGATGACCCCCATCCGGTGTGGTGTTTCAAATGAGGAAGTGTCATACCCCGTGAACAGCCCAGGGCAGCTCCTGGCCACTCCTGTGGTGCCACCTGGCTTATTGGCCTGTAGCTTCCGCCCTGCCCCCAGCCACTGTGGGATGTCAGACTGACCTTTACACTCTCGCCAGCTTCTGTAACAGCATTAACTCCAGAATGTTTGCTAATGACCTTTCTTTTTCATAGTATAGAGAGTGTGGTGGGGACAGTACGTGTGTGTCATGGCATGGTTATAGAGGTCAGAGGACAGCCTGTGGGAGTCCATCATCTCTTTTCCCTTCACGGTTCCCAAGGATCGAACTCTGGCTTGGTAGTAAGCACCTTAACTTACTGAGCCATCTTCCCGGCCCTGACTTTGCTTTTTTGTATTGCTAAATTGAAATTTCTCAAAACTTAAACGGTATTGATCCCATGTGTGCTTTTGGATCACTTGAGGATTTTATTATTTGGGGGTTTTGTTGTTGTTTTCAAGACGGGGTTTCTTTGTGTAGCCCTGGCTGTTCTGGAACTCGATTTGTAGACTAGACTGGCCTTGAACTCAGAAATCTGCCTGCCTCTGCCTCCCAAGTGCTAGGATTAAAGACATGTGCCGCCACCACCCTGCTGACTTGGAGGATTTTAAACAGCATGCTGATTAAACTTAAACAGGTCTGCAGTGAAAAAGATCTCACATGATAGAATTGCTGTAGGTATCTTGGGATCTGCTGGGCTTTACAGGAACTATTTGGTCACATAAACATTTTGAATTCACTTCTTTACCTAGAAAATTATTTCCTTTCCACAGAGATCTTCATTTGTTTTCGTTTTTGAACCTAGGAATATTAATGGCATTTAGAGCTATTTTCCCTTCAAATAATCTACCTAACATTCATGGAGAGAAGAGCAGACCTGGCTTGCATATTCACTTCTTAGCTCCTGCTTAGGAACCCTGCCTCCTCTGTGTGCCTGTTTAATATTTCTTTCTGCATTTGGGAAATGTTTTTTCTGAATGACTTAAGATGCCAGTTGCCAGAAAGTAAAAAGAAAGAAGGAATTGAAAATGCACTTGCTGAAATCTCAGGTTGGAGAAGGTCACCTGGCAGAGTCTGTCCCATCCGTCTGTCTGTCTGTCTGTCCATTCTTCCGCTGGCATCGTGGGCCCCCCTCCACGCCCTGAGGCAGGAGGCACTGCCCTGCCCTGCCTGCCTTTCCTGCCTAGACTTCTGTGAGCACATGCCGTTTTCAATATGAGTGAATGTTGAGAGCAGGACACGGAGGGGACAGGGTTTGGCCAGTAAGAGGTAAGAGTGCTAGGTAGCGGGTGAGGAAAAGTGACCAGAACAGCTGAGGACAGCGAGGCTCCCTCCCCTTCACTCACCCTGACACCTGAAGTCAGGAGGATGTTAGAACTGTGGGGCCGAGGTCCTGGGTCCAGTCCTCAACACACCCACACCTTAGAAAGGTCTCCTTAGCCCAAGGTTGTTCCAGGGCCTCAGCCTCACAGGTTCCCAGGAAATGCACAGGAGTCTAAATCTACCTTCTCACTGTGCAGAAGTGGAGTCTCAGTGCTCGGGGCCATTCGGACATCTGTTTGCTCGTGGGATCCAGATAGTGATACAGGGGAAATCAGGGTCCCGCTTTGAGGTTCCTAGTCTCATTAATAAAAGAATTTAAGTATGGACTGAAATGGGAACAGTTTTATTAGTGCTTAAAAGTCAAGCTTCAGCAGCTGCTTGGAGGAGGCAGATGGAAAAGCGGAGGAAAATCACTGCCATCTCTACTGGCATGGAGGTCACAGGGTGGGGAGGGAGGCTTTAGGAAAAGAGTAGGGGGGCACGGGTGCTGGGGAGGGGCTGCTTTGAGAAGAGAGAGGATGAAGGAACCAAAAAGCTACGCTTTGAAAATTCAGAAAAGCAGACAGACTTACCACCTACATAGCTGTGGTCTCCTAATCTAATACACTGGGGCACGAGTTCTAGGGAGGCAAAGTACAGTAGCTCATTAAAGAAGGGATGATCCGGCCTCTCTTTAGAATGGCCTAAGGTGAGTTCACTGTCCTCGGGCTGGTCCCTAGGTAAAGTGACTGAACCAGCCCAACGGGAATGTTGGGTCTCCTTCACCCAGGCCAGAGCAGTTTCTGTCTGACACTAGCAGAGTCTTGATGATTATTTTGTGTATGGATATCATTCAAATCTTGGTGTAGAGTTGGTATGAAATATTGATCTCAAATGTATCATTTCTAGAAACTATTAATGAGTGGCAGTCTACTAGGAAAAAACAATACATTTTTAATCTTATTTTTGACTTGCTTTGTTAGCACCTTGGCAAGTTTCTTCCAAACCTAGACTCTCCTCTTTCAGCAAATTTGAACAATAATGGGGTAAATGAACCAAGTGTTTTAGTCAGTGTTCTGTTTCTGTGAAGAGACACCATGACCATGGCAACTCTTACAAAGGAACACATTTAATTGGGGCATGCTTACAGTTCAGAGATTTGGTCTGTTGTCATCAGGGTGGGAGGCGTGGTGGCATGCAGGCGGATATGGTGTTGGAGAGGAGCTGAGAGTTCTGCATCTGGATTTGCAGGCAGCAGGCAGAGGGAGACACTGGGCTTGGCTTGAGCATTTGAAACCCCAGAGCCCACATCCAGTGACACACTTCCTCCAATAAGGCCACACTTCCTAATAGTGCTACTCCTTGGTCAACAAGCATTCAAATCTGTGAACCTATGGGAGCCATTCCTATTCAGTGCTAGAACCTCCACACCAAGGTTCTAGCAAGTTCCTCGTTTAATATTTGTGAAGTGAGTAAGTGGTAACTAACCATACTTAGTCTTCCTCCCAGAGAGTTATGCCATTCGAAAGCAGTTCAGCTCACCTTCTCAGAATGCCATTATCTTTGACATGTGTAATTTTATTGCTGTAATTAAACTGCTGTTTGCTTAATAATATCCTTTTGATTTAGGAAAAGCTTGCTTCAAATGTCTTCCAGCCTTGTAACTTTCCTAATTCCAGATTAATCCATGGAGGACAAATATTAAACGGACTGGCAGGTCCAACTGTCATGAATGCAGCCCCGTTTCTCTCCACAACATGGTTCTCTGCAGATGAACGAGCCACTGCCACAGCAATCGCATCGATGCTGAGTTACCTTGGTGGAGCATGCGCATTTCTGGTTGGGCCCCTTGTTGTTCCGGCTCCCAATGGGACATCACCCCTTCTTGCTGCAGAGAGTAGCCGGGCTCATATCAAAGACCGCATCGAGACTGTACTATATGCAGGTACCATGGAGATCTTTGTCTAACTGGTTTACTTTGGTTTCTGTTCTAATCTCTGCTCCCTAGTTCTGGTGTGCCAGATCATATCACAGGGTCCCCTTAGGACTGGTAGATACACACACTCAGAATGTACTTTCATTGTCTTATATGGAGGTACTGCTTTGAAAAAACTCTTCCTAGGAAGTTGTTAAATGTAACGTGCTCCTGCTACATGGAAAATTCTTTGTTAATTTTCGCTTTTTATCCATTTATAGTAAAGCACTCTATAACACGTATCCTAGAGCCTTCTCCAGATGTGGCATCTCTATACAAAACTCAATGTCACACGTCTGTTGGTAGCATTCAGCTGTTTCTCCCTTGCAGTTTCCCCATTAGTGGCCACGTTCTCACCTAATTAATCTCCATCACCTGTAGTTTATTCTTCTCTTCATTGCTCTGTGTATGTTCGTCTGTTCGTCAGAGGTACTAACCTTTCTGAATGTTCTCTTACAGCCATTCCCTTGTTAGTTCCTTGTTAGTTCTAGCCAAGCCTTCGACTCTGCTCCTATCGCTCTTTCATGTCGTCCTCCGTACACGTGTTTCTCGCTCCTTGGGTCCTACATCTTTGCTGTGTCTAAGCATTGTGCTCAGCACTGGGGATTGGTGAGGTCAGTGTTGAGACCTTCGTAGTACAAATAGGGACGTACAAGGTGGAAGAACCAGACTTGCCTGGGTTTAGAGAGAAGTTGAGGGGTTAAGGAAGGCTTTACCAAGAACACAGTGGTGAACAAAATTCAGAACTTCATAGATATCCACCAAATGTTCAAACGGGTGAGGGTGTTTCATGCAGGGGACCCTGAAGGGCTGGGCGCTGGGGTTGCCATGGCCCCCGCTCAGCAGTGCTTAGAGGGAGGTAAACAGTCATAGATCAGAGTGGTGGTGCCGTGCTCGGGGCTCTGAAGCCACGAGGCAGCAGTGGCATGCCTGCCTCAGATTGTGGGCATGCAGTGGAGCTCCTTAGAGATGTAGCATCTAGCCTGGAACCCGGGGGAAGGAAAGAGTCAGCAAAACCCAGTGGGCAAGGGAAGATGAAGAGAGAACCATGGAGAAGACCCCCACTGGAGGGAGAGAACCTGGTGCCCCCAAACAGCTGAAAGCATAGAGAAGTTCAGATCTAGTGAGGATCCATTAAACCAGAGGGGAAGCCAGGCCATGGAAACTTCTAGGGAAGGCCCATCCATGGGCCAAGACCACACTCCGAAGTTCATCCCCAAGAGTTACGTGACGAGATTCACATTTCGGGATTGGCCTAGAGAGAATCAAACTGAAAGCAGGGACCGGGGAGAACAGGGGGCATTGCGTGTACATTCTTGGTCTCTTGGTTCCTTACTTTTCGGTGCTTCCTTGTCTTGTTTCACTTTGCTGCTCAGTGTGTGCATTGAATCTGTCTTATCTGCGCATCAGAAGCCCTGCCCTCCATCAAACAGAATCCTGTCCTTCCCAGTCTCCTCCTGTCTTCCTTCTTTCTGAGTACCATGCTTCCTAGAATGTCTTAGACCGCTTCAGAATCTCTCCTTCAGGGTTTGGGTGGGCTTTCCCGGAGAGTAGCATTGCTCATCTCTCAGCCTTTGAATTGCTGGTGTGTACCGGTCACCACGGTGCATCTTTGTTCATAGCACGCCCCCTGTTGATGGCCTGTGGAATTTAGGGCTGCACATGCCCAGACTCTGCTCTGGGCACCAGATTTTGGTCTTTGTGGAGCTAGATATTAAAGAAATAAGTACTGACTTTGTGTATCACTGGTTAACACTTCACTGTTACTTGTCTTCCAGAGTTTGGAGTTGCCTGCCTAATATTCTCCGCCACCCTTGCTTACTTCCCACCCCGGCCCCCCCTTCCTCCCAGTGTTGCTGCGGCGAGCCAGAGGCTGAGTTACCGGCGCAGCTTTTGTAGGTTACTGAGGTGAGCAGACTGTGGCTGCGGCTGCTGTCAGTGTGTGTGTGTGTGTGTGTGTGTGTGTGTGTGTGTGTGTGTGTGTCTGTGTGTCTGTGTGTGTCTGTGTCTGTCAGTGTGTGTCTGTGCGTGTCTGTGTGTATGTATGTGTGTGTTTGTTTCTGTGTGTCTATGTCTGTCTGTGTCTCTATGTGTGTCTATGTCTGTGTGTGTGTCTCTGTGTGTTTGTGTCTATATGTCTGTGTGTGTGTGTGTGTGTGTGTGTGTGTGTGTGTGTGTGATGGGTGTGGGGATGACACACATGTGCCACAGCATACACCTGGAGGTCAGAGGACAACTTTATGAAGTCAGTTCTCTGTTCTACCTTTACATGGGTCCCAGGGATAGAACTCAGGTCATTAGCCTTGCTTGGCAAGTGCTCTACCCTCTAAGCCATCTCTCTGCCCCTAATTTTTAATGTTTAAGTATAATTTGAGGTGGTAATTTTTAGCATTAATCAGATTGTAACAATTCATGTTAATATTAATTAAAATACTAATTAATTTTCTGTCAGAAATATATCTTGAAAATTCACCACACACCAAAATGTTATGAAATTTTGTTTCATCCATGTTCCATGTAGACTATTATTCAATATTTTAAAAATCAGATCTCTTAGTTTCTGTTATAGAAACTTAGGCCACGTAATCTGTGAAACTATAAACTGTGTTTGTTATTATATGTTAACACACATTGCATAGGCACTCGTCAATACAAAGTAATAAAATGATATCCTTTCCATATCATCTAGAACCATCTCAGTGTACCCCATTCGGCTCATAGTGTGGGAAATGCCATGTATCACTTCATCTTATTGGTTTAAGTTAGATACAGTTAGACTCTGCCCTCAGAGGCTCTAATGCCCTAGAACTTAAGCTTGACTCCAAACATCAAATGTCACTGTGGGTTGTGGCTTATAGTTGGGACGTGTGATGTCACCTTCTGAGTTTCCTTTCCTAGTTAGCTGTCAGGAATTGTTGCGAATTCCTTAGGTCTCTGGTTGGTTCGTTCTTTTTTTTTTTTTTTTTTTTTTCCTTCAAGACAGGGTTTCTCTGTAGCTTTGGAGCCTGTCCTGGACTAGCTCTGTAGACCAGGCTGGCCTCGAACTCACAGAGATCCACCTGCCTCTGCCTCCCGAGTGCTGGGATTAAAGGCATGCGCCACCACCGCCCAGCTCTGGTTCTTTCTTTTAACCTCTCTGTCCCTTCTTTCCCCATCGCAAATTCCTTCCAGTAAAGAACTATATCATTGTATCCTCTGTATTAATACCCGAGCCACGTACACCACCATAAAGTTTTTAGTATCTCACTAGGAAATATTAGGAGGGAATAATTAAAATTAATTTCAGTAGCGTATTTTATTCAACCTTATATATATCTAAAACATCTTAACATGTAGTCAATATTAAAATTATTAATAGGATATTTTACTGTTTTTTTTTAAGTATCTACTGTGTTTTCACCTTTGAACACATCTCCATTTGAACTCAGTATTTTTATTAGAAGCAGTTGATATATATTTAGATTCCATCAAATTTATGATTGAAAAGTACTCATTGGGCAGTATTTCCCACAGTTTATTTTTCATCTAAAATAAAGAATAAGTCATTGTTTTCTCACACCTTGACTGTACAGGTCCTTGATGTTAAAGGACAGGTTTTATCGGGGTCAGAGTTGACGGTCTGCCACTTCTTTAGAATACAGTCAGTCTTTAGTTTTTTCCTCATAATTCAAAAAAAATTCCATAGCTGAAATAACAGTCTTCCCATCTGTGCATCTATAATTGCTTTTCTTTCTGGGCAAGAACCCAACGTGTTTTATAGCTAACCCAAGTCCTAACTTCAGATCTATCAACAACTGTTTAGGGTGTTCTTTGGATATTTTAAATTCTAATTTCCAGTAACTAATTTTCTTCTTTTTGTTTGTTTATAAGACAGTGTCCTATTCCATAGCCCTAAGTGGCCTGGAACTTGTGTAGACCAGGCTAGCCGTAAACATGCAGAAATTCACTTGTGTCTGCCTCTGGAGTGCTGGGATTAAAGGCGCGCACCACCACCTCCAGCCTCTTGATTCCATTTGGATTGTTGAAGACTAATGTCTGACAGAATTCACTGCAGGTTTGCTGAAAGTGTCTCTTAGCACGAGCCACTTAAGCGGCCTGCATCTTCCCTCAGACGTTGGATTCTGCTGCAGCATATTGCCACTGGTGATATTTGCAGTATGTCTTCTTCAAGTGAGGGAATTACAGTGGTCGATCAGTGTGTAGAAGAGAATTAAGACGGGATCAGTTCATTGACACCAGGCAGATCAGTGGCCAGTGTGCTCCAGTAATGTCGCATGTGTTGCGGTTGTTAAAGCGAGATGTAGTTCTTCAAAAAAATAAGCCTTAAGGACAGGGTTGTTTCACAGTTTGTAGAGTGCTGCCTAGCAAGGGCGGGCCCTGGGTTGCATTTCTAACACTGCACATAAATTAGCGGATAAATGTAAAGTTCAGTGGAAAGGTACTTTGCATTTCTTGTGGTTTAAAGTTTAGGCTTAAACTAGTTAAAAGGAAGAGATTAAAAGTTCAATTGTGCTAGCCCCATTTCACATGGTTCCCAGGCCAACTAATTTAATGGGCTGAGCCCCATTTTTTAGACAAAGTGAGATGAAGTATAGAAGGTAGGAAATACTTTGTTTTCACATGTGATAATGGTACGTACTTTGTGAGACATTACCAAACAAAATAAAGTTTCTTGCTCTAAGGTACAGTAAGAAGATTTTGAAAATCCGCTTCCCTGTAGCACCATGCATATTATTACTTTCCACATAATAGATTAAGAAAAGCATCATGGGGCAGTAGGTAAAGCCCAACACTCAGAGTTCCATCTCCAGGATCCACCTGGTGGAAGGAGAGAACAGACTCGTGAAAGCTGACTCCCCCCCCCATCTCCACCCCCCTCTGTCTCATACAATAATTAAATAAATATAACAAAAACTGTTAATGTGGGTCTGTGGCACCCATTTGCAAGGTGATAGTTTAAGGTAACGGTTCTTTCCAGTGCTGTTTGTCTAAATTTTTCTCACTGCAACATCAACAGCAGAAGTTATGTTGGTGGGCAAAGCTGGTGACCGACCATTCCGGGGAAATTCGAGGCGTTGGAGGGCCTTATGCTGAGTTACAGACAAGTTGTCCTGACAGGAAGGAAGAGTAACTTTGTTCCTCTGACCGGGATGTCCCCATTCAAGGCCGCTCTGTGTCTGCTGTGGAGTGGAGTGTGGTCCTCTTCCTCATGAAAAGACCCCACCAAAGCCTGCACTCTGTGTCGTGGCTGGGGACTGCTGTACTTCTTGGCTCTCTGGGGGATTCTGTGGGCCTGTCTTTTCTCATACCTCAAGCCTACAGGATAATTTTCTCTGGTTTTTCAAAGAACTTGAGAAATCTTATTTCCTATTTGATTTTTAAGATGTTTTAATTTAAAGAGCTGGCTCCGTAAACAGTAATTTCATTATCTGGATATATCAAACCCTTCAGCAGTTCTGCTCCAGGGTTTTTACCTTGCCATTCTTGTGTTTTAATACACTTTTGCCTGTGTGGCCTAACGTGACTCTTTGCCCCTTTTCTACGTCAGTGTAATGCGTGGTGATGGCTGCTGGCTTTGCATTTTATAGTTGATCCTGTTCCTTCAGAGCACATCAACACCTTTATTTTATTTTCGTTGTCTTTTTATATTTCCTACTCCTCATCCCCCTCCCGTTTCTCAAGTGCCTTTTTATGAGTTTCTTTACCTCTTTGCTTTTGTAAAATGTGTATAGCTTTTCACATAGATCAATGTATGCATCCTTCTGTTTGACTGGTTTTTTTGTTTGTTTGTTTTGAGACTGGGTGCCCTTTTGATCAGGATGGCCTCAAATTCGTTCTGTAGTCAGGGTTGACCTTGAACTTCTGACCCTCCTGCCTCCACCTATTTAGTATCTCCATTTCCTGAGTGCTAGGATTACAGACGTGCCCCAATGCCCAGTTTATGTGGGGCTGGGAATCATGTGTGCTAGGCAATCACTGTACTAAAGGAACTACATTATAAGCTTTCAGTAACAGAACATTATAATATGTACAAAGCAGAATAATAGAACCCCCCTCCACCTCCAAGAAATCAATACCGTAGTTACTGGTGTATAACCACCTTGTTTTCTCTCTACCCCACTCACTCCACCCTGAAGGTAACTGTTAAGGGACAGTTAACTTCATCCAGAAATGCTTCAGTATATGTAATATATGTTAAAATATACAGACCTTAAAAAAACTGAGATAGGGTCTCACTATATTCCACGCTTTCCTCAAGTTCTAGGTCCATCTGCCTCAGCCCCTGACTGTTTAAGAACTCTTTTAAGATAAATGTAATATCATTATACCCAGAAGGGCCTAACAGTAATTTACTGACAAGTCAGGCTTTATATTTTCTTTTAAGTTTCTTCAGTGATTTATTCATTTTTATTTTATGTGCATTGGTATTTTGCCTGCAGGTATGTCTGAGTGAGGTGTCAGATTCTCTGGAACTGAAATTACAGACAGTTGTGAGCTACCATGTGGATGCTGGGAATTAAGCCCGGGTCCTCTAAAAGAGCAGCCACTGAGCCATCTCTCCAGCCCCAAGTGTTTACATTCCTAGTGCCTCATGAATCTTTTTTTTTTTTAAGATTTATTTATTTATTTTATGTACATGAGTGCTCTGTCACACTTGCACTCCAGAAGAGGGCATCAGATTTCACTACAGATGGTTGTGAGCCACCATGTGGGTGCTGGGAATTGAACTCAGGTCCTCTGGAAGAGCAGCCTGTGCTCTTAACCTCTGAGCCGTCTCTCCAGCCCGTCGTGAATTCTTTTCAGTAGTTGTTTGGTTTTCCATTTCACATCCAGGTTTTTAGTCCACCTTAGTCAGTGCCGTTGACAGCTGGTGTAGCAGGGCATCTTTCCTCATCTGATGACCAGCATCCGCAAACACCCTCCGCACTGGCGGGCAGCAGTTTCACTGTGTAGAGTTTCGGTGTCTTGGTCTCTGTGCTTCTCCGTAGTCCTCTTTGTCATGAGCCGATGCCACATTGTCACTGCCTTAGCCAAGCAGACAAGGGCTTCCCTGCTAATCTGTTTTAAGTATGACCTAACCTTTTAAGGGATCTTATTTTTCATATTTCTAGGAAAAATATAAGTATGATTTTAGTTGTGGTTACATTTAATTTACAGATCAATGTAGGCTGATAGCATGGACTGTCCATCTACTTAGATCGTTTCTGCTCCCTTAATTAGGTTTAAGATTATCTCTGTCCATCCGTCCGTCTGTCTGTCTGTCTGTCTCTGTCTCTCTGTCTCTGTCTTTGTCTCTCTCTCTCTCTCTCTGGCCTTCCTGGTTTATTCCTAGTTGCTGTATGGATTTTGTTTTGTTTTGGTTGGATGTTTGAAGATGGGGTCTACAACCCAGGCTCTTCTGGAACTCACTGTGTAGCACAAGCCGGTCCCAAACTCAAAGCTTCCAAAATACAACATACCACATAAAATATGACACAGCAAACACTGGAAATTTTAAGAAATATAAGTGAAAAGGATACTTTTGGTGTGATTTCTTGTTTTGTTTTGTTTTTTTTGTAATTTTCATACCATATATGGATCATATTCTTTCTCCTCCTCCAATTTACCTCAGATTGTTTTTTTGTTTTTTTTTTTCCAAAACAAGGTTTCTCTGTGAAACAGTCCTGGCTGTCCTGGAACTCACTCTGTAGACCAGGCTGGCCTCCAACTCACAGAGATGCACCTGCCTCTGCCTCCCAAGTGCTGGGATTAAAGGTGTGCACCACCACCGCCTGGCCTTACCTCAGATTCTTACCCCTATCCTTACCCACCCAGATTCATATTCTCTCTCTTAAAAAAGCCAAACAAAAACCCAAACCAAAGAAAGTATAAACCAAAACAAAACCATGGAGCCCCTTTTGTGTTGGCCGACTGTTTCTGCGGATGGGGCCTGCCCTGGAGTGTGACTGATGATACTATGTTGTCACTCCATTAAAGAAAACTGATTTTCCCTCTCTCCCAGCAGGTAACACTTACTAATAGCTTCTTGGTGAGCAATGGGACTTTGTGACCACTCCCCTTCCCCAGGCTCGGGTTTTGTCTGGTTAGACCCTGCGCATGCTGGCACGGACTCTGAGTTCCTATGTGCCTTTGCCCTGTTGTGTCTGGAAAATGGTATTTCCCTGACCTCATTCACCAATTCGGGCTCCTACAGTCTTTCCATCAATGAGCCTTGAGCACAGGCGTGTGATAAAAATCATCCCATTTAGGGCTGGGTTCTTATAAAAGATTAACAGGTTAGAGAATTTTGAGTTTATTTAAAAATGGACACATATTTCCTAATTCAATTCTGTGTTCCAGTTTCAAAATGACTTAAGTGTTTCATAAATAGTTTAAATTCTGCATTTTAAATTTGTAATAATGTTTTCTTTTGCAGCAATTTGAGGTTTTTGATGATTGCATTAGCATATGCGATACCGCTTGGTGTGTTTGCCGGCTGGTCTGGAGTTCTGGACTTAATTTTAACACCAGTGCATGTCAGCCAAGTGAGTATTTGTGCCTGTATATACGGTAGGCATTTTAATTCATTTAATGTATAAATAACTGTGATATGTTTTTGGTTTTTAGCTTCAAGGATTCGGTAAAATATTGCCTAAATCATTGTTGAAAAAACAAGATTCCTATGGGACAGTTGAAAACTCAATCTTTGATATCAGCTATGAATTTCACATTTCTTGGGCTGCTGTTAATACTGCTAAACAGAAGAGAAACAAGTCTTAGTGTGTTAACTTCATCATTTATCCTCATTTCATACTTGATAAAGTAAATTATGAACCTATTACCTGATCTATTGCTATTCTAAGTACTTTCTCTCTTGTCTCAGAATTAGAACATCTTCTCTTTTTCAAACATGACCATGGCCAGCAAAATGGCTTCGTGGGTAAAAGCCCTGCAGCCACCATGATGATCTGGGTTTGATGCTCAGAACCCACAGAGTGGAAGAGAGAACTGATTCCCACAAGCTGACCTGCATGTGAAGGAACATATACACACACCACAAGTTGTCCTCTGACCTGCATGTGTACATGTGTGCACATACACAGATGCACACACATGCACTCGAGAGTGCACGAACACAGACACACTCCCACAAACTGTCCTCTGACTTGCATATGTGCATGCTTGCACATACGCAGATACACACACACAGACTCGAACATGCAAGAACACACACTGCCACAGCTGTCCTGTGACCTGCCTCTGCCTCCCGAATGCTGGGATTAAAAGCGTGTGCCACCACTGCCCAGCTGACCCCTTCTACTTTTATAAAGAAAGCTAATCCCATTTTCATAATGGCAGATCTCTCATGACTTCATTGTTGAAAGGCCTCTCCTCAGGCTGGAGAGATGGCTCAACAGTTAAGAGCACTGGCTGCTCTTCCAGAGGTCCTGAGTTCAAATTCCCAGCAACCACATGGTGGCTCCCAACCATCTATAATAATGTCTTCTTCAATTTGATGTCCTCTTCTGTCATGCAAACATACATGCAAATGCAGTGGAAATGTAGGTGATGTCGTCAGGTGCCCTGAGGAATGTGACTTGAAGTAGGGAAGGGCTAAGGCAGGAGAGGCATCCTGAGATGGGAGTAGCCATTAATGCTTAGTGAGCACTTGCTGGGTGTTCCCACTGAGTAAGTCCTGGACACAGATGGTCTCCTTCATGATTTTGTAGGTAAGAGACATAATCGACCAGGGTCACTGAGCTCGTCAGTAGCAGGAATAGAAACATTTTCTGAGTTCAGCTTTGCTTTTTCTTTTTTTGTCTACTTGTGTTCATCAGACTTCTAAGTGAAGGATATTGGCAGAACAGTGTAACAGGAGGAAGTCGTTACTGTGACTTGTAGTTTTAGAGGTTCTAGTCTGTGTTGGCTTGGCTCAGTGCTGTGGGGCTGAGAGAGGCGGAACATCATGGCAGGGAGCAGAGCAGTTGACCTTCTCGTGGAGAGGGGCCCAGGACAAGATACAGTCCCTAGGGACATGTCCCCAGTAACCTCCTTCCTCCAGGTAGGCCCTACCTCCTAAAGCTTCTGGAACTTCTCAAGTGGTCCGACCAGCTGGGGACCAAGCTGAGTCACCTGAGGCCTAGATGTACATATCATATCCAAATTGCAATACCATCCTTTTCCTCAAGCCACACCTCTCTCTCCCCCTGTACCTCTCCTCTCCTCTCCTCTCCTCTCCTCTCCTCTCCTCTCCTCTCCTCTCCTCTCCTCTCCTCTCCTCTCCTCTCACATCTTCCATCCCTTGATATGGTCTTAGATATGGCCAGATGTCTTAGCAACAAATTATTTTCTAGGAATTTTATGTATGATGATTGGATTTAAACTTCTTGAGGTCAGGTACTGTTTTCTCTCCTTTCTTATTGAGTTCTTAGTCCTAGGCATTACTAGACGATGCTAGTGTATAGCACATGCCTGAAAATATTCAATGGTATTTATTTTGTTGATTTAAACGTTCCAATAAAATTAATGGAGGATATAATTATGGAGATACATTTGTATTTATTAGTTATACATGACTCCTTTTATTTTATCCATTTTCTTAAATAATATTTCCTAGATTTGTTGCCCTTGATGCAGTTAATATTGACTATAGAGGATTTCATTTAATTTCTCCTCAGTTGCAACATGCCACACTTGTATTAACGTGTCTGCTTCTTTGTTAACAGGTAGATGCTGGCTGGATTGGATTTTGGTCTATAGTTGGAGGCTGTGTTGTTGGGATAGCTATGGCAAGGTGAGACTATTTCATATCAAACTTGTAAGTGGTCGGGGGGGGGGGGGAGTCAGAAGAGAAGTGGGTTCCCCAGTATAAACATGATTGAGGAAAGAGCAGAAGAAAAGGCCGGAAACAGCCACTTGTTTGGGCTACGGATGTTCATGCGGCAGAAAGCATTCCGTCCACAAAAGCCTCCTTGGGAGCATTCCCTCTCAAAATGGTTTCTGAAGACCAGAAGTGTATTTCCAGTATAATTAAACTCCTTCTCTTTGTTTATTTGAGGGCAGCATCTTCAAATGGGCCCCCCAAAAGTGATATAATTTTTTAAAATAATAAAAAGGTAAAGCAGTAGTTAGCAAGAAGGAGCCACATACCAGATCATCTCTGGGCTCATAGAAAGGCAAACCCCAGTTAGCAAGTGTGTCCCTGTGGGTGTCCGACTTGGACGGAAATGTCTGTAAAGGTCTCCAGTTTCCTCAGACTCTCTCTCATCCCAGTCCATTATGACAACACGTTCTTAGACTGGGTTAGAAAAGAAAGAGGTTCTTACTTATTCTAAAAACAGGAGTCTTAGAATATGTCCCTCCTTCCGGTGACATTGGTGTGTCTAAAGAAAGAGTGGTGTTCGCCCTCCAAGCCATTGCATCACACCAAGACCAGCCAATCACCTCACCAGGAAGAAGAGAATCTAATTATCTATTTGAGGAGATCACGAAGATATATAAATCCCCTCAGTATCTAAACCCTTATTGAACATAATTGACACAGGATAATATATGTGGACCTTTCAGTTTTTACATAGTGTTTCTGAGATGATGCAGGAATAAATTGAATTTATAACTTCCAGGTCGCTTTATTTGTTTTTTTTCTTTTTTTTAATGTTAGAGAAGCATAGAAGAATAAAATCTAAAAGGTAAAGGTTTAGGCTAGGAAATCTCTTGACTGATTGTGAAACACATTACCCTGATGATCCTGACAAGAATCATACAGTTTTTCTCTAACAAATAATAATAATAATCAGTGAACTCAGGATTCAGACTAAGCATCTGGCATCTCTTTGGGGACACATCTTCTTAGGGGACATTTTTATTAGGCTGCAGGATCTTTCCAGAGTACATAGAAATTTCTCCTTTGAAGCAAGCAACCCTGTCACTAACCGAGCAGCCCATTCTTCCCACCAGTAGGTGGCGGCAGCTCTCACATCATAGAGTCACTTAGTCTAGAAAACACTAACAAACGTGAGCACCCGCATCATAGCAAATAAATGCAAAAAAAAAGATAATATTGAAGTGTTACAAAGGACAGCTGCATAGAGTAGACACACTACACTCAGTTTTGAATGCAGAGGGAAAGAACATGGTTAATGTCTTACTGGGGACATTTCTATAGTAGAAATAATTGGCTTCCTGGGTGCCAGGATTACAGCCATATGTTGCCACAGTTTAGGCTGTATTCTTGCTCTTAGAAAGTTTAGTAAGAAGACATGAAATAAACAAATGCAAAAACCAAACAGTTTCCAACATGGAAAGTTGTTATGGGGATATAAAACAGAATGCAGGGCCACCGTGGGGAGGACTTGCGTGAGCATGGAGGGCCATGTTGAACAAGACCTGGATAAGTGGAGGAGTGAGCGGGAGTGAGTGTGTGAGGGTCTGGGTGTTAGTATTACCAGCAGAAAGGCAGCTACACGCAAGTACTAAAGCTAACCCCTGCTGTGGGAACCAGCCTTAGCATGGATAAGAACAGAAAACAGTATCCAACCAGAAATGGGGGTGGGGGTGGGGATGGAGAGATGCGGGGGAGAGCAGGGCCAGGTCACGTGGACCACAGACTCTCTGGAGGCATTTGTGTGCATTCTGTGAGTGTGAGTTTTGGAAGAACCATCTTTGCACATCAATGTCAAGTAAAACTGGGCTAATGTGTATTCATTATAGGATGTTTAGAAAGCATAAAAGTCAATTTAAAAATTCAAACTCTATTCTGTGAACTGTAGGCTCCAAACAGATTATGTTTTATAGTTTGTAGGAGGAAAATAAGTTATTATTAAGTAACATCCTAGACACAAGGAGAGAAGGAAATAAATATTTATAACTGGCATTGAGAACTAAGCAGGGAAAAATCAAGTAATAGTTGCTTAAACAAAGTATGTTGCTAATTTAAATAATACTGAAAAGTCTAGCTGGGATTAATGAAAATTGTTTCTGTTCAGGTTTGCAGATTTTATCCGGGGTATGCTGAAACTAATTCTTCTCCTCCTGTTTTCTGGGGCTACACTGTCCTCCACGTGGTTCACCCTGACCTGTCTAAACAGCATCACGCACTTGCCTTTGACGACAGGTGAGGACAGGTTGTGTTTGAGCTTGGGGTAAATATTGTCAGTTTACAGAAGTATGCGTACTCTGACAGTAGGCCCTCGTCTTGCTGTCTGTAATTGTTCAGTATATAGAGGCAGGCTCTGGCAATGCTTCCATTGGCAAAGTGCCTTGGGTTGGCACAGGACCTGAGATCAGATCCAATAACCTGCATAAAATGGTGAGGGCGAGGGCCTAGAGACATGACTCAGCTCTTGCGGAGAGCTCAAGATCAGATCCCGACAGGCATGTCAGATGGCTCACATGTGACTCCAGCTCCCAAGGACCCAGCACCTCTGGCCTCCGAGGGCAGTTGAACTCGTGCACATACCCATGCCTATACACAACGTTTAAGATGTTTTGTTTTGGCTTTTGTTGAGGGCTGGGGGCTCAGGTGAGGCAGACCCATATAACTTACTGGGACTTCGGGTTCAGTGACAGACCTTGTATTAAAAATAAAGTGGAAAGGGATCAAGGAAAGACACCCCAAATCAATGTCAGGTCTCCACATGCATATGAACTTGTGTACATGTGCAATTGCACACATGCATGTACATAACACACACACACACACACACACACACACACGAATGAAGAGGCTTCCCTTGTCCCATCATCATACCGACATCCCAGATAGGAAGAATCCAAGAAATAATTGAATAGTTTACATAGGGAAGTGTCCTCTTTACATTATCCCATATAGTGTAAAAATGCTTTCATGTAAAATTCACTCCAGAGCATAACATATTTTTATCCTATTTATAATTGTTACTAAACAGTACAGTCAAAGCAAAGCATGATTATGTCTAAACTATACCTCAGTACAATCCTCTGACCTGGCCTGGTGCCTCAGTTTATACGGCGTTATCATATCATCTGTACAGAAGCATGATTTCTGGAAACGCCTTTTGGAAGCTACTGGATCCAGCTTACAATTGTGTGATTGACCAGAAATATTTGTATTTGCTGTTATGCTTATTGTTATTACTAATATAAGTTCTGAGTTTTCTGTTGTTGCTCTAGTAAGTTGCATAAATGTATTGGCTCCACAACAGCACCAAGGATTATCTTACATCTCCGTGGGATGGAAAGTGCTTCCCTAGGGGTCTGGGCTGAGAGCATCGCGAGGACTCTTGGGAAGAGTCTCTTTCCCTCCCCGGGGGCTTTTTTAGCAAGCTACAGCCTCCTTGACTTTGTTCACAGTTGGTCTGTGCCCTCCTGGCCCGCCTCCTCTGTCTTCAGGGATCCTTGTCTCACATTGGGCCCACTCCGATAATCCAGGATAATCTCCCAATTTCAGATGCCATTTATTAGCAACCTTAATTCCACCTCAGGCTTAATCCTCATTTCCCTGTAAGGTAACACATTGATAAATTCCAGAGAGGGAAACATCGATCTTCAGGGGAGAAAGGAATCATTCTACTGGCCCCAGGGTCTTGTCCAGGTTCCTGTGATGGCTTACTGGGGAAGGCAAGGGACTCCATGACTGTTTCTTCCTCCCTTCTAATAAAATTGCTTAAGATGCAGGTTTCTTACTCATCTTACAATTAATTTTTAGCCACCATGGATTAGGTGCTCAATTACAGGATTATTTATTGTGAAGTACATTGAGGGATTAATGTCATACCAGCATTTGACGAATAGGAGCAAATTAGAATCTGAAGGCTTGAGGGGGGCCACTTGCCCAGCAGTGGTGGTTCCTTTTCCCCAGATAGCTTAGAATCTCTGCACATCCACTTTGGATCTCTGCAGTCTGGAATTAGAACCAGGATCTGTACATCAGCAGCATCAGACTTTCACACAGGTAATAAGCAGTAGTGTAAGGCTGCCAGACTGCCCCAGCCAGCATAGATGCCCCAGCAAACTCACAGGGGCCGCGCTGGGACTTGACTTCCCTTGGACTCTGCTGCAGCCTCCAGTCCAGGGACATTCCCACTGTCTGTAGACTGGGCTTCATTCTGATGATGTCAGAGCTTTGGGAAGTTAGTTTTTCAGCAGCTAGTGTAGTAATGAGCAAGTGTCCACTAAACCGATCTGGAGCAGGAAATGAGGGTGGGGATATTCATTACGATTGAAAGTTCAGAGCTCTATACCTGCCCATCAGATGCACACACCTGTAGTGATTGGGGTCATTCTTTCATCTGTGGACACTACTCTTTATGTGGCTGCTAAGTTGTAAGGACATATACACTTACTGACCTGTTTGCACCTAAGTGTGTCAACAGCACATTTGTTAGCTATTTATTTTGGCCTTGGAAGCACCATTAAAAATTGATACTATACTAAGTAAGCATTAAGAGCAGATGGCTCCATGGGTAAACATGCTTGCTGCCTAGACTCACAACCTGAGTTCAAGCTCCAGGACCCACATGGAGAAGCAGAGAGTTATCTCTATACACATGAACCCATGTATACATACCTGTTAAATAAGTAAATAAATAAATCTAATTTTTCCATGTACACACATTAAATAGATAAATAAATCTAATTTTTAGATTAAAAGATTAAAGTTTTTTTTTTTAAAGAGTGAAAATGCTGGGAAACTTCAGCTCCCACCCATCCTCCATCATTCCTCTCAAGTGTGAAGCCCAGTTGTCCAGTATAATAATTAGACAGTGACTAAAAATCTGTGACTATTTATCTACCAGTGTTCTATGTGGTATTTCAAATAATTAGGCAAGTGTTCCCAGTCATTTTTTTTAAGTTTATTTAATTGTATGTGTATGGCTCTTTTGCTTGCTGTATGTCTGTGCACCACATGCATGCAGTTCCCATGGAGGCCAGAAGAGGGTATCAGATTCCTTGGAAGTGGAGTTACAGACAGTTGTGAGCTGCCATGTGTGTGCTGGGAATCAAACCCGGGTTCTCTGGAAGAGCAGCCAGTGTTCTTAACTGCTGAGCCATCTCTCCAGCCCATTGGCCCAGATTTTCTTCTTTTACTTCATTCTGGTATAGTTTAGCAATTGGGCAGCACTTGGATGCAACCATTTTGGTTTACAGCTCCTCTCATCCATGGAATTACATGCAGAGTTTTTTTTATGATCTCATATAGAAGTCAGTATCTGTGACACTTTACAGAAACTTCATCATGAGTGCTTGATGACACCTGTTGGTTATTCATAAGACAGTGCAACTGTCAAGTTCAGGTGCGGCTTTGTCTCTGAGTGGAAGTGTTGGGGGGAATTTAATTTTTACATCTGCTTTTGTCTGGATTGGTGTAGTGAGTGTATCTGTCTTTTATAGTCAGGCAGAATATATTTGAAAACTGTACATCTTTTTAATCTTGCACGTGTGATTGACCTGATCAAGACTATGTTTTCCAGTCTGTGGTTGTAAAGAATTCTGCTGGGCAGGAAGTGAAGAAGCAGATTTCTAAACTAATAACAGCCAGATTGAAAGGCTGAATTTGATATGCCCATCTTTTTATTCTGTTTTCTTTTTGTTATTTGAGACAGGGTTTCTCTGTGTAGCCCTGGCTGTCCTGGAACTCACTCTGTAGACCAGGCTGGCCTCGAACTCAGAGATCCCCTTCTGCCTCCCGAATGTTGGGATTAAAGGTGTGTGCCACCACGCCCGGCCTGATGTACCCATCTTAACAACCAGGAGAATGTTCACCATACTTATGTGATGATATTTATATAAATTTTATGTTGTTTTTGGTTGAAGTCAGTTTTTCAGTGTCACTTAGATATTCCTAAACGACGGTTTTTAACTTATAGAACCCCAAGGTAAGAACTAGCTGGACCGACCCCCCTCCACAGTGCCAAGCCTTTCTTTTTTCACAGTGAGTGGCACTCAGCCATGCTCTGAGTGAATCTCACCCTCCTTGCCAGGTGGATAAGCCAGAGCATGGATTTGGGTCTCATAAACTCTGTCCCCAGCCTTGCACCTGCGAAGGGAGATGGGGAGAGACTATTACCTCATCCCGAGCCTCAGGAGACAGAACTTCCGGGCTGCAGGGGTCAGCAGCCACTGTCACTTTGTCATTCAGCACAAGCTGCTGGGAAGCAAAGGGGCACGTTTTAATGGAACAGTGGGAATTTTAATAAATCTATCACAGATACTCCCTCTGCCTTTGTAAAAATCTGACCTAATTCCTTTTAAGTCAGAGAGGTTCCGTGAAGGGGAATTTACTACAGAATCTAATTACGGACCCATCTAGACCTTGAGGTCAATATTTAAAGTCAGTAATGGCAAATTCGTGTTTCTGTTCAGTGGTCGTTCTTAGTCAGGAGAGGTGTCGTCCTCTTGCCTAGCATGCTTAGTCTTTCTCTTATGGGTTTATAAGTCAGGAGAATCTCCATGAAAAGTATGTGAAACAGTCACGCTACAAGGCAGTGTTGTGGTCAGAACAGGCAGCATCTGTAACTCTGGTTCCTTGAGACTGTTTGCCCCACAGCTCGACCGTCTTTGTATCTGTACGCTCTGCTGTTCCAGGAGGAACAGCATCATCTAATAGCGTTTTCCTCAGAGCATCCCCGTCACTAAACAGTGCCTAGTATGTACACAGAACTGTGGACATAATAAGCTAAAGGCCAGTTAAGTTTTCTCTCCCTGCTGTCTCACAACAACCCCTATTAGTCTTCGTGTAGTCTACCCCTCATGATACTGTGTTGCCATCTCTGCAGAAGAAAACTGGGTCACGGCATTGTCTCTGAAGGCACAAGGGTTGATATATGCACTTGCTTACACACATCCTCTGGGAGGCTGTCAGCAGTATGCATTTTTTTCCTCTTAGGAAAACTTAGTATTTAAAATTCCATTATTAATTAACTGAAGTATTTACAATGGGACAAATAAATAACTTCATGACTAGATAACATGAGCTTCAAAATCTTGAGGCTTTTGCTATAAACAAAACGATGCAAGCACATTATTCACCTGACCTGAGAATGAGATGTCTAGCCCTGTTAGATACAACTCACACGGTCATTTTTTACTGAACAGATGAATGCTTGGAAAATGGCATTTTGAAAAATGTTAGCA